TGGTTAGCAAGATGTCTGAATTAGCGTTCTTGTTTTTGCAAAAATGAGGATAGGAAACGAAGCATCGGGGAAAGCATTTATTAAGATGGTGAGTCCGATACGTAGGTTCCATGCCCTTATATATATATAAAGAGAGAACCTATGTCTATATATATATACATATATATATGTAAATATATATATATATATATGTATATATATATATATATATATATATATATAAATGTGTATATATATATTTTCGTTTAGTATAGCACTTCAATATAGGTCGGGTTGGGGAAGCGGGAAAGGAGTTCATGACTAAAGGTCAATGGTTTTTTGTCTGCACATGGAGTGGTCAGGCGGGAACCTAAAAGATCATATATATATATGTGCGTATAGTAGTGTGTACATTTGTATCTATGTATATATCTATACAGAGAGAAAACAAGGTTGGATAGTCATTTAAGAGGATGTAGTTATGTGCATGTTAAATTTCGTAGGTTGCTCGATCTCATATAGTGGTAATTGGATCGAGGTTGGTGTTTTGGTAGGTGCACAGGGGGATTTTATGGGCATACGAGTAGGGAGGTATATATGGGAGTTTCAGGATGTCTGGATATGGACATGTATATAAATTCTAGCAACTGGGAGTCTGACACCCATCCCATGGGGCGTGAAGATTTGGATGTAGGAAGAGGGATTATAGCGTCTGGGCATCACATACTTCAGGGGGTTTAAGTTTTGAGCAGGATACTGGTGGGGAAAGGGGTGGGAGGAAGGAGAGAGGGGGTGTGGGTAGAACGTGCTGAATAAAGGAACAGGGATTTAAAGTCAGGGTATTCTTGATTGTGAAGAAGGTCAAGGAAGAATACAGTCCTTTATAGGCAGATCAAAGCGAGAGTATCAGGTTACCCATTCGGAGTGATGACAGGATCAGGATCCGGATGGGCCAGTGAAGGGTCATTCCCAAAGCAAGCATTGATTTGTAAAGGGTGGTGAAATAAAGACCACTCTCACATACAGCGCCGCTACGTTCTAGGATAGAGCAGATAGAGGGATGGTGACAACAGGACTTGAGATAGATGTGCGATGATCGGTTAAGGATTTAGACTGTTTGCAGCATGATCGATTTGTTGCGTGCAGTGTATTGGCAAAAAAAGAACAATAGATTATATCAAACATGCCTTGGTCATAGAGCGCAGTCAACGTACTGCGGGGACCTGAAGGTGATATGCTTAAACAACAGAGATATGACAAGGGCATGATGTATTAGCAAGTACGTAAGGAACAAAGATAAGAAGTAAAGTGCCTGATTAATTTTATCCTCGCATGTTTATGCCAGCTAAAACTACGGTGGAGTTTGGGTTTAGTGTTTCGGGGGTTGCGCGTTTATCATTTGGTTCTTCATGTGTGTGCAGATATTCTATGAGCTTATACGAAAGAGTTCTATTGGTTTATCCATAACTATCATGGTTATGGTTGTGATGATCCAGGATTTGTTCGTATTGATCATGTAGAAATAGTGGCATGGCGGTTTCGAGTATAGTCGGTTGTGGAGTGGCATTTACATTAGAGGGGTGGGGCGCAAGGATGAGGTGGACAGGCGTATTTATGGTTATTTGGAATGATAGGTGGGTTTAACTGGGAGGTGAGAGTATGCTGGATTGGTTATTTACATGGGAGTGGGCCGCTTGAGTGGGTCATATAGCTAGGTGGATGGAGGGGGTAGGCGGACGGGCATATGCGTGGATTGAGTATGTATGGAGGCGGAGGGGGCTGGTGGGGGGGCAGGTGATAGTGTACGCATGTGCAGTCATGAGCCAGTATGGCTTACAGGAAGAGAAGCCCACCATTCATGAACTGTATGTCTCCGATCACGTCACAGAGAGAAGGTATATATCTTAGGCAAGTGGGTGGAGATCAGCAGGTGGGCTTAACCCCTGCATTGCGAAAGGACAGTGTCCGATAGTATGTGTGTGTCGAAGTGCAAAATGCAACCATAGCAACCCATATATGGGAATCTCCAACAGCCATAGATAAACCATAGAGTCTGTGAGCAGTTGGAGCACATACCTTGTCGCAGAAGTCGGGGTCCGTAATCCATGTAAGCACCTGTGGCAACAAAAAACAACAAGCACCTTATTGCGCAATGGGGTAGAAGAGAGGGTAGGACAGAAAGAGGAAGGGAGCAATATGATCAGTGCCATCAACGCCAGCATAATTGCTGGTGGAGGAGGGGGGCGCATCCCCTAAAGCGCTTTTCGCCGCTTGCGCCAGTCACGGCTCATCAGAGGGTGAATATCCTCTTGCTCCCAAAAGGGTGGTGAGGGACGAGGTCATGTGGGAACGGGCAAAATGTTTTTAGCTCAGGAGCAAAAAATCTTACCATGTGTTCCATGATGTCAGCGTCGGGGAGGTTCTCCCTGATCTGTGCCATCGTTCAAGACCTTGGAATTGCTACTGGTAGTCGCAGGGTAGAATTTCCGCAGAGACAATGCACTGCCGGGTGAATTCTTGCTGCCGACTACAAGCACACCGTTCAACGTAGGTGGTGCAGGGAGCACCAACTATGGCGATCCTATGTGCAGCGCAATTGTCAACACCGATCAGCAGGCTAAGGTGGATAGCGGACCACACGAATGCACTGCTTCAGAGACAGTAGAGAGTAGCAAGAGGGAGGGTGTGTGTGGGTTGATGTGATATATGGATGTGGATGCTGGGGCAGGGGTGGTAGTTTCTGCATGACTCCATGCGTGGGATCAAGCTGGCATGTAACCAGCTCCAAGGATGCCCATGGGGCAGCGAGGGGCTGTCTCTTATACACATCTAGATGTGTATAAGAGACAGCATGTAACCAGCTCCAAGGATGCCCATGGGGCAGCGAGGGGTGAATGGTTAGGCCTGGGGTTATGGGGGGATAGGAGTGATGAACGTGGATTCATGTGGGGGGGGCTGTTTGTATGGGTGGTTAATTTTTTGTGGGATAGACGGGAATTGCAGTAGGCGGCTATGGTGCGGGGGTAAAGAGCCTTTGGTGTGTTGTGCGGGATGGACGTCGTATGCAGTAGCACCCGGGTGTGAGGCTTGTGTTGCTCGTTTGGTAGTGCGTTGTGGTGTATGTTGTGTCTGCCAGCGTGCGGGCATGTAGGTGGCTTGCATGTTTTGTAGTGTTGAGTGATTTCTCATCGAGTGTAGGCATGGTGGTGCGGAGAGTTTCGGCGGTATTGTCGTGGTTGTGCAGCAGGTGCGTATGCTTTGTTTTTTAGCATCATGCCTGTGCAGCGTGAGGCACGTTTTTGAAAAGGTTTTTGGTGCGTGTTTCAGTATGTATACAGGGTTGTCATTAGTGTTTCTCTCTTTTTTTTTTTCTTTTTTTTTTTTGATTTTGGGCCATGGTAGCTTTGTTTTGATATATGGTGCAGTGGCGCCATGTTTTGGTGGTGTCATTTCGGTTTTGTTTTTTGTGAGAGCATATTTATTTTTCATTTTGTAGGCTGTTGTAGTGCACATCTGTGGGGTACAGTAGTCGGCTATGCACCGAGGGACCGTGATACACTTCTTTTTTGCGGGGGGTTATGTATATGTGTAGGGTCAGTTATGTACATGCATGCAGGTGTGTTTATTTTTGTGTACGTTTATCTTTAGGACAGTGCTTATGTGTGTGTGTGTGAAGGTGTATCATTATTATTATTTTTTGGGGGGGGATTGTTGGTTTGTCTGTTGATGAAAAAAAATGTACGAGTGTGTGTGTGTGTGTGTGTGTGTGTGTGTGTGTGTGTGTGTGTGTGTGTGTGTGTGTGTGTATGTGTGGCGTGTGTGTGTGTGCGTGCGCGCGCATGTGTGTGTGTGCGCGCGCTCAACCAACCAACCAACCAATCAATCAATCAATCAATCAATCAATCAATCAACCAATCTATCAATCAAGCAATCCCCCCCCTAAAAAAAAACAATCAAACCAATCAAGCAATCAATCAACCAATCAATCGATCAATCAATCAATCAATCAATCAATCAATCAATCAATCAATCAATCAACCAATCAATCAATCAATTCAACGAATTAATCAATCAATCAATCAAAAAAAAAAAAAAAAAATTCAATAAAAAACTAAGCAATGGTACAATAGAACGAAAAAGAGAAAAAAAAAATAAAAAACGATAGGGGGTCCATTATTTTTCTCCCCCCCCCTAAAATGGACCCCCCCCGTTTTTATTTTTTTTGKTTTTTTTTCAATGCGGGGGCATGGGGCCTGGGGTGCGCCCCTGGAATCTTGACCCCAACCTCTAGTACCACCTCCCCCTCGCCCGCGGCGAGCCTTTTTCAACCGCGGCCGCGGTGGTCATGACCGCGGACTCGCGGTCGACCGCATGGGCAGCGGTCATGCCCGCGGTGACCGCGCCCTTGGGGGATACATAGGCTTCAACAACCCGTAGTTCATCCTCAGAAACACAGACAAGCGGAATTGCGACATAGCTATCCCACCCTTTCAATGCCAACCATTTTCTGAGCTTATGGTTTCGTCTATCCGACAAGTGATTCCCCGACAGAGCGTGTTCGTCCCATCTTTCTGAAACACTTCTGCAGGTCGAACCTATGTACGTAGCTTTTAGCCAAGGAGAAATCAAAACATAGACCCAACAACCGTTACCGACGCATATATCATGGCCTTTACCCACAGAGTCGAGCCATTGCCCTATAAATTTCTCACCCCATGCTATCTGCCCAAGCACAATCAACAACAACACAAAAAACAGCATTGACTGTTCTAATGACCGCTTCTTCTTTCCCCGTAGTTCCTTGCTCTTCCTAATATCACGGAGTCTGCAGACCTGGTCCCATAGCCAGTCTGGCTGCAAGAAGGACTCAAGAAGGATTATCTTCTTGAGACTCCTCCGTTGTTGCGTTCACATCATCCTCCTCTTCTCCTTTATCCCCGTAAGCATCCTTTACCCTTATGGTCGTAAGATCAGCAACGGCCTGCTTCTTATTGTGATGCTTAATTTTGTCTCTATTGCAGAGCTCCACGAGTTCCTGCTTGTACATAGCCATCAACTCCTTCCCCATGTCGTTGTGGTACTGTCTTCGACCTCCCGGTCCTGGGTTTGCAACCACCGCCTTTCTTCCTTCCCTCACTCGATTGAATCCAAGGCCGGGCGGTGTGCCAAGCCGGACAGCTGAGAGGCTTCCAGACATGCGTCTCACCGTTCCTGCAACCGAGGCGAATATGTCAGCCAGAGGACCAGTCCATCTCCCAGAAGCGGGCGTCTGGACTGCAGAGGTTCCAGGTCTGTCCTGGGCATGGGCCATACTGCGTGTAACTGGTCTGTTAGTCCCTCCAGTACTTGGCTCACGAAAAACAACTCCATTAGCCCTTCTATTGTTAGCAGGGCCAGTGGGGGGAGGGGAAGGCGGTAGAGAAGGTGAAGGGGGGGGAGGAGGAGGGGGGGATGGTGGTGGTGAGAGTCCGAGAGAGGAGGGGCCTGGGGGAGCGGCAGCAGTAGCAGGAACAGGATGCAGTGGAGGTGGGCGACGAGTACATCCGCCGTTGTTGACATGCACGTCCTGTTGCATAGCAGGAGCAGGTTCCGCCAGAGGTGCTGAAGGTGGGAACATCCTTGCATTCAGAGGCGGATGTTTCTGATGACGGGGCTGCTCTCCACGGACCGTACCAGCATCAGGGCCAGTTCCAGGTGCAAGTGGCGGTGTAGTCCTGCTGCGCTATGAGGCTTCAAACCTTTCCATCATCCCCAACATGCGCTCGAACCTAGAAATTTGTTGCGCCTGCTGTCTCTCCATCATCTTACTCTGTTCCATTTGCGCCCTCTAAACAAAGTCAAGGTTCATCAACAGTAGGCCGGCATCCAATGCACCAACCTCGCTCACCTTCTAACGAGGGGTGGAGGTTTGGCCAGCAGCATCCCCTGCGATCTCCTCTTGTCTGCGCTTCTTGTTCTCATTATTGGCTTTCTCACACTCCACTTCCGCTCCTTTTCCTTTTCCGATTTTTTCCCACAACTTCTTGTTCTCTTCCTCCCTCTGCTTCTCCATCTCACTTTTTAAATCTTTCATCATTTTCGCAATTCTGGCCTCCTTCTCTGCTTCCTTTTTCGCCTCCTCTTCCACTTTCTTGGCCTCGGCTTCCTTAGCCAAATGTTCCTGCTCCTCCCTTAGTCTGCGCTCATTCTCCTGTCTTCTAATCTCCCTCAGTTCTCTATTATCATGTGCAATTTCTCGCACCAGGGCCATCAATTCCCCGTCCCTCGATCTCGGATTCCAACTACTCCAGCTGGACGATCCCTCGTACGGAACAGTCTGGCGTGGTTGATACGGGACTAGCGCGGTGGAGAAACTGCCATCGTGAAGGGCATGGTTCTAAGTGGGCAGAAAGGAGGGTGCGGGGGTCGAAGAAGAAACGGGCTGCGGAGGAGCAGGGGGACTGTACTGAGTATTGCTAAGGGTAGGAGGAACAGGTAGCGGGGGAGCGCTAGGCACGTACTGTGAGGGTGGTGGGGGAAGTAGTGGTTGCCCTCGCGACGATGATGGGCCGTACGCCGGCCCCGATATCGGTCTCCCAGACACTAATCCGTCGTCGCGCCGTGGGAACGGGCAGTTCCTAGCCCAGTGCCCATGCTGCTTACAGTTGAAGCAGGCTCCATATGGGACAAAATTGTCCGTCAGTTTGATCACCGTTGTGACGCAGTCTTGAAAAAACCGGCACGTAAAAAAAAAAAACCGTGGCAACTCAACTCTTGAACCTGACAAGTACGCGCTCACTTCGACGTCGAGAGAGATAGAGAGAGAGGGAGAAAAAGTATCGGCTGGAACTTTCTTCAAGTTTCACGAAGCTGCAGAGAGACGTCCCGACTTGATGCTCCTTACTGATGCGAATCCACCATCCCGCGATCATCACGGTGGTTAACGCGCTAATAATGGTCGATATGAGGTGCCA